TAACCCCCGGGGGCGCCTTGGTGAGTAAAGCCTCCCCAATTCCCTTCTGTGCCCCCGTGATGAACTTATAGGCAGCCACAAGGTCGCCTCTCAACCTTCTCTTGCGGAGGCTGAAAAGGTCCAGTTTCTCTAGTCTGTCCTCGTAGGGCTTGGTCTGCAAGCCCTTAACCATACTAGTGGCCCTTCTCTGGACTCTCTCCAGGTTATCCGCATCCCTCTTGAAGTGCGGCGCCCAGAATTGCACGCAGTACTCCAACTGCGGTCTGACCAGCGCCCGATAGAGGGGAAGTATCACCTCCTTGGACCTATTCGTCATGCATCTGCTGATGCACGATAAAGTGCCATTGGCTTTTTTGATGGCTTCGTCACACTGCCGACTCATGTTCATCTTGGAGTCCACTAGGACTCCCAGATCCCTTTCCACTTCCGTGCCACCCAGCAGGTCATTCCCTAGGCTGTAGGTGTGCTGGACATTTTTCCTCCCTAGGTGCAGCACTTTGCATTTCTCCTTTTTGAACTGCATTCTGTTGTTTTCTGCCCACTTGTCCAACCTGTCCAGGTCTGCTTGCAGCTGTTCCCTGCCCTCTGGCGTGTCCACTTCTCCCCATAGCTTTGTGTCATCTGCAAACTTGGACAGAGTACATTTCACTCCCTCGTCCAAGTCGCTGATGAATACATTAAAGAGTATCGGTCCAAGGACCGAGCCCTGCAGGACCCCACTGCCCACACCCTTCCAGGTCGAAGCCGACCCATCCACCACGACTCTCTGGGTGCGACCCTCCAGCCAATTCGCCACCCACCGGACTGTGTAGTCATCCAAGTCACAGCCTCTTAACTTGTTCACCAGTATGGGGTGGGATACTGTATCGAAGGCCTTCCTGAAGTCTAAGTATATGACATCCACCCCTCCTCCTGTGTCCAGGCGTTTCGTAACCTGGTCATAAAAAGAGACTAGATTGGTCAGGCACGATCTGCCTGCCACGAACCCTTGCTGGTTTCCCCTCAGCATAATTTGTCCTGCTGGGCTCTCGCATATGTGAGCCTTGATAATTTTTTCAAAGACTTTGCCAAGGATGGAGGTGGAGGTGAGGATGGAGGTCCCTCACTGACTGCACTGTGTGCTCGGCATGCAGCTGCTTATATCCCCTCCTGGGGCTCTGCCCCTAGATTGAAAATGAACCAATTAGGAGGGCTGCAACTGTAGTTCCCAATTAAGTCCACTCCTGCCCCCACCCCCTACCCACTTTGGAGTAGAGGGGAAGCAAGCTCTCCTCCTGGCTCCTCCCTTGTCTGTCTCTGATTGATGGGTTTTGCCCCACCAATTGCATTTGCAGTCTCCTAAGCCCAGACAGCCAGGCAAAACCCAGCATGCCCACCACATTTGTAATAAACCACAGTTGTGTTACACAGATACAGGCCTCTTTTGCAGTCCCTCTCAGTCACACCATATATAGGTAGAATCACACGTATTGAGTGTAGAATATAGAAAATGCCTGAATGATTTACTTTAAAACTATATTTAGTCAGTTTGAAACATAGCCAGCAGAGAGTATGGTACCATGTAAAGTCATATCACTGTACCAGGAAGAGGGAGGCAAAATGAAGAGACAAAATGAGAATCTATCAGTCACCGGCGTATTAAACAAGGAAGCAAGAACAGCAGTATAATCCTAATGAGGATGGATCATATGCCTCATCTCACTGATTATGAAGTACTCAGCCATCTTTTAACCCCAGGTAGGGTTCATAGTTTGCTCTAGAAATATATATAGGTACCATGTCCCAGCTCTTGAAAGAGACACTGTTGCCCATACCTATGAACTGTCATCCATTTCCAGGAAAATATTAATTGAATTAAACAAGAATTAGTCTCCTGTTAAGACCTCAGAGTCGGGTCTTATAAAAATGACAGGAGGAATCAGAATCTCTCCATTCTGAGAAAACCATATCTCCTTGTAGCAAATATCAGATAAAGTACCAAAGCTTGATTCTCAAATAATATGTACAATAATCCGAAATTTTCCATATAAAACAAATCTTGACTATAAGGTACAGCCCAGTAAATTTCAGAATAGATTTCCCATCAATAAAAAAAAAATCTATTATTTGTTCCTTTTAAGGTATAGATTATAACCATTATAAAACTAACAGACACTAGGGTGTGTGTAGGAGTTCCACAAGATTAAGGCAGACAAGGTTCCTTGGGTGAATCTGATATCTTTTATTAGACCAACCCAAATAGTTGGAAAATAATTATTAAGCAAGCTTTCAGGTTCAAAAACCCTTTGTCAGGCTAAGGCCTTAACATCCTTAGCCTGATGAAAGGTTTTTGAACCCGAAAGCTTGCTTAATAATTATTTTCCAACTATTTGGGTTGGTCTAATAAAAGATATCAGATTCACCCAAGGAACCTTGTCTGCCTACGTCCTTAGACCAACACGGCTACAACCTACACCCCTGTAACAAGATTAAGGAACACTCAGCTATTGTGCCACAGGCTTACCAATGTAAAGGAACTTTTAAAATCTGTTTTTTAAAAGAAAACAGTTAGAATGGTGTTACTATTGAACCTGTTCTTTCATGGAATCATAAACTATATGGAGGAAAATCTATTCTAGATCCACAGCCAATTTATCTGCATGCACAATTTTTTTTTTAAAGTGTTGAGGTAAAATTGTACCCCCAAAATAGACACCACTGACCTTTAGGGAGGTTGAAATCTGGACCTCAGTTTACAGTTCTGGTTCATCACTGAACTGGAAAAGCTAATGAAAAACATCACAACAAACAAAGGATTTTGTTTAGTAATTGACCTTTTCCATTTTTAGCCTACTAAAGGTGGCCAGCAAATTTGTTACTATTTCCATTTAAAGATGTTTCTTCTGCTTGTTTTGCCTTAT